AATTTTTGGAAAAAAATTTTATTTACAGCAAAAATTTTTAGAAAAAAATTTTCAAAAACAACAAAAAAAATTTTACAACAACAAATTTTTGGAAAAAAATTTTTATTTACAAAAAATTTTGGAAAAAAAATTTATTTACAGAAAAAATTTTTAGAATTAAAATTTTACAAAAATAACAAAAAATTGTAGAAAAAAATTTTATTTACAAAAAAAAATTTTATTTACAGAAAAAATTTTTAGAATTAAAATTTTACAAAAATAACAAAAAATTGTAGAAAAAAATTTTATTTACAAAAAAATTTTTGAATTTGTTTTTACATATTATTTTATTAAAAAGAAGTATTGTTTTATTATTGTTGCTTTTGTGATTGTAATATATGTAAATATATCTAGTAAAATATAAATTTAAATAAAAAAACAAAATAAATAAAGATTTGTTTTCTATATTCTATGCGTGGTAAGTTCATAGGGTTGACGTAATCGTCGCAAGGATTCAGTTTGTAAAACTTCTTAGATGGCTGGAAAGTGTGCAAAACCGAATAATATTGAATCGGCCTCAAGACGTGGTGATCTTAATGCAACCAATCCCACTTTTTATAATCCAGTTTAGAAAAGGTGGTAAAAAGGGTTGTGTGAAGTCATGTCCGAAATTGTCGACCAAAGCATTTTATTCAGCATCATATAGTTGACGAAATCCCAATCTCTGCAAAACAATTTAAGAAAGAAAAAACAATAAAGCAAAAATTTCTTTTCAAATCATTTTGTTGAATTACGTACAAGATGGAGGTAGGAAATCCAGGTCACAGCCTTTGAACACGGAGGAGTTATTGAAGAACCTTTTAAGAAAAAATATTTATTATATAATAGCGTTATTTTAAAAGAAATTTAATAATAATAATTGTAAGTGGTTTAGGAATTAATTTTTAAATAAATTAAATTTATTAACAATAAGATTTGTATGTGTGATGTATAGAATAGAAGAGATGTGCGGGAAGATTATATTCATCAATTATTTGGACATCATACTAGATCTATAGACTTTCCCAACGATGATTAACGGAGTTTACGGAACCAACCATTACGAAAAACGAAATAGGGAAAGCTACAGAAAAAATGCCAAAAACAACAAGGCAAGGGGTAACGACAAAACAGAAGGTTGACGCAGTGAAGCGTTATTTTCATTTCCGAACGGTAAACAGAAATGGGCAGCTGAGCTACTTTATTATTTTGTAGGAATATATAAACAAAAACATATGGTTCAAGAATGGAAATTAAAGAAATCGATAAGAAACCTTATATAAATGAAAACAAGCTTGTTTATTCATTAGTGATTAGGTAACGTCTATGTAACCATATGTATATAAGATATATGTTTGTGGATTAATTGATTCATAATTTGGAAAGTACCATTTATCACGCTCTGCAAACCCATATAATTCATCCATCCCCATAGTGTTTAGTATTTCCCCGTTCTTTCTTTTTTACAAATTTGTTTGTGCTTTTTGTTTATGTTGCCGTTGATTTCCTAATTTTTGGTCAGTTTTTATTTACATTCTCATGCAAAGCAATATGCTAGCGTAGCTGCTCATTGTGTTTACCACTTGAGAAGTTTCATAGAACGAAAACGAAAACAAAAATGATGCTTGATTGTGTTAGCCCCCTAACAGCATCATTGTAGGCTTGCCTTTACAAATTTAATTGAGAATTTCTCAAGGTGGCATCGTAGGCGATGCTTGACAGTATAGCTCGTACAGCTCACTTGATACTTTAGTCATATTTAAAAAAAAAAAAAAAAAGAAAAAAACAAACAATTTTCTTTATAGATTCAATGTTTGCAAATAAGGCGTAATTTAAAGACAGAAAAAGAAAAAATCATTCAGATTTTACCTGATCGGGACAATTGGCAAAATTATGAACAAATTAAAAGAAGATTTAAACTTACAAGAATATAGTAAGGAGGAGAAGACAGATGGTAAGTGGTGTGCTAGTTAATGGAGTGTAATTAATTTTTGTTTAGACTCGGTTTGACTATCATTGATACATAAACATAATAATAATGATAATAATAATAATAAAATAAATTTAGATAAGAGAAAACTTATGTAAATTATAAGATATATGACCCAATCCCCCCATTAAGCTTTATTGAAAGAAATACATGTGCTTTCAAAAAAATCGTACCAATAACTCATTCCGTTGAGTTAGTTACACAGATGCGAAAAATATATAATTCAAATTTACTTTATTTTCGAAAATATGATGTAAGTTCATAATCGAATACTTTTCAAATAATTGAATGAAATTCATTGTTACTTGTATTGCAGAGCAAAGCACAAACGGTCTAATAAATCAATTTGGCTGTGATTCCATTGAGGAGGAACCCAAAAATAAAATACCCCGACTTACCGGCAATGACGATGAAGCCGCACATATCATAAATTTAAATTTTAATACAAATTACAATCGTGTAGAATTTACACAATTGTTAAGTAAACAATGGCTGGCCTTAGCAATGAACGAATTCAAAGATACTGCAAGTGGTGTTGAATTTTATGGCCAACCGTATCAAATTTGTTTACTTCCTGATTTGCTCGAAAATAAGCACGGTTGCAAAGAGCTGGTCAGAGAAATGGTCGAAAAAGTGAAATGGTCTCGCAAGCAAATGGATCTGTATGAATTTTATCAAAGCACCGATCTCTCCAATATGATAAATTGTCAATTTTTAGCGGGATTTTTGCATATGTTACGACGTACGGTGAGACCATGGTTGGAAAAAATAACCAATTTAAAATTAGATTATGTCTCGGCGTCCTGTTCAATGTATACATGCGGAGATTACCTGCTAGTCCATGACGATCTTTTAAAAGATCGTCAAATTGCCTTCATCTATTACCTAACACCGTGGTTCAATCATGAAGAGTGGTCGGAAGAAGAAGGTGGTTGCTTGGAAATATTCAACAGCGATGAACGTTGCTTTCCGCAATTTCCTGTCAGCCGGCGAATATCACCCAAAAATAATCAATTTGCCTTCTTTAAGGTCGGCTCAAAGTCTTTCCATCAAGTAGGCGAAGTAACTACTTTCGATTATCCACGTTTGACGATAAACGGATGGTTTCATGGAGCATCAAATAAGGATCTTATAGCCGATGCTTTAAGACCTTTTACTAAATTAGAATTTAAACCTCCGCTAACATCGCAATCTACTTTGGAATTACTGCTGAATGAAGTCTACCTCAAACCGACCACTAAACGTAGCATTCAGAAACGTATCGAAGATAATTCGGAAATATGCTTATATGAGTTTTTTCGCCGTGAAGTGTTCGAAGAGGCTTTAAAGCAATTGCTTAATGATAAAAAATTGAAATGGTCCCGCCAGGGACCAGCGAATGCCCAAAATTATGAAGTTTTAAATTTGAAGACCACATCCGCCATTATTGACAACCTGATAAAACTATTCTTAAGTACCGAGATGTTTGATCTATTGAGAGACTATACTGATCTTGATTTGGCCGGACCAAATGCGGGAAAACCGGGGGTTTGTGTTGAAGTACAACGTTGGTCACACGGTGATTACACCGTGCTAGGGGATGGCGCTATATGCGATGAGAATACCTTGGATTTAATCTATTATCTGAATGCTGCCGAAGGTGCTGCCATTATTACGTATCTCTCACCTGACGGTGATGGGCCACACACGTCGCACAAAAAATCCACTAATCATAGTGACATAGATTCATTGGAAGGCGAGGGCTTTGAAGACGAAGATGACGACGAATCAATCTTGTTGACTATTACGCCTGTGGACAATGCACTCAATATTGTTTATCGTTGTGAAGGTACAACAAAATTTACAAAATATGTATCACGGAATACGCCGCTAGAACATGGGCCCGTATACGTAATAGCATGCAGCTATAAGGAATGAATGAATGAATGAATTCTTATATAATATATGAAATGAATTATTATTTATGTGAACTCAAAGTATTTTTTCTTTTTTCTTTTCGTTTAAGGCATAAAGAGATGGAAAAATATAAAAACAAAAAAAAAAAAAAAAGTACATAAAAGTATATGTATACGAATAAATTATGTTGATTTAATTCCAAGTTGTTTGTTAAAAGTTGAAACTAAGGATATCATAAGTTTCATGATACGTTTCTCGGGCATATCTTATTATAAATATTTATTTGATATATATTTTAAACTAATTTTTAACGCATATAAGAGGAGGAGTCGGATGACGAGATCATAACAATTGTAAAGCATAAGAAAGATTATTGGAGTGAATTGGCCAAGTTCAATAGGTTGTCCTCTAAATTGCTTTAAGGCAGCACAAAATCTCTGCTGGAATGCCGGAATGAAAAAATTCAAGACTTATTAAATCGTGAATAATTACTTGAAAATTTAATATCTATTCAGCAAAAGACAGTAGCCAGGCATAGTCTTATTTCGATTCAAGTTTAAATAAAGAATTGTAACCAACATAGAAAGGTAAAGGTAGTTTATTATAACACTTGGACATAGGCGCCAGAAATCTCCTGAAGTACAAATATTTTCCATTTTGGGCAGGATCTAGATTTGTTTTAATTCTAGCGAGATAAAGTCGAAACTTTCTCCCGAAAATCCCGCTTCTGTCGGCGTATTAAGTTTTAAAAACGGAAACGTTCAGGCGATTTTTAATTTGCGAAGAAGAGCTGCTTCAGATAACTTAGCCCAAATTTGAAAATAAACATTTTTGAACGTTGAGTGCAAGGGTAGCCTTCGATCGATCTGCTTGTAAGCGCACAGTCAGAAACCTTTAGCATTGTTAAATATGTTTTATAGTAATAGTATTTAATGGTAAGGGTTATTAAGAGTTCTTTAGCGAACTTGTTGATTTGTTTCCGAGTCATCTGAGGTTCATGGAAAAAAAGAGAACAACATATAAATATCGAGAAGATCAATTGAAGAATCAACTATGAAAAATATAATTTTTTTGCCTTTTTTTTTTAAATTTAATTATAGGTAAATATCGTGTCTATTCAACTTTGGCATTTATGGCTATTGTCCTTGGAATTGGTTTACCTATGTGGTGGAAAACAACGGAAGTATACAGGTACGATCCATAACTGATATTGAGAAAATTCAATTGTTTTCATAAACAATAATTTCATGTTTTTTTTAGAGTTCGTTTACCATCATCGGGTATAATGAAAATGCATCAAGAACCGATACGAGCTAAACTACAAGTTGGAATTTTCACATTCAGAAATGAAAGGGCAGAACTGCTTATCAAGGAGTTAACTCAACAATATAAAAACAATGACGTATGGCTTATCGAGTTTCATCACATTCCATATACCAAGAAAGTCTCGTTATTGAGAACCCCGGCCGCACTCGAAGATTCCATCCTAAGATCATATAATATGACAGAAGGAGATTTTTTATTCATAGAATGGCCGAAACTGGAAGAGGATATTTTGATAACTAATGAACGATCAGCTTTGATAAAAAGTGATTGCGGTAAGAGAAGAGTATTTGTCACAATTAGATGGACTCAAGTGAAATTTCTCGTCTTTTTCTTTTCTAAGCTTCTAATAAGATTGCTCAAGTTTTGAATTTATATATATTGCAAACACATCGCATTCATCAAATCTTGGCGAAAGATCACGCGGACAATGTAAAGAGTGAAGCCCCTCAGGCGGAATATGATGTTATAGTGTCGGTTTTAAATCCTCAACCGGATGCCATGAATGTTAAATGGCATGTCCCATTGGCTGTTGAAAGTAATTCGCATGGATGATGTTTTTTTTTTACGTCGTTAATGGGCGAGTATATGTGAAATTCTTTTTTCAATTTCCAGCCTATTTGAAACCTTATTTGCAACAAATCTCTCATATATCGAATTACACGTTAAAAACTCAATGGAAATTTCAAGTACCATTTGAAGCCGATTTGCGACAAGTACGCGATAATACTGCATTCGGTCGTCATTATGCGTTAGCCGATGCTTCTTTGCCTCATATCATTACTGCGATTGAAAAGAATTTGGGCGTAGGCATAACCGACAAGACACCCATCAATTTAGTCGTCTACGTTACTCCTTGCGATATTTCTCCCGTCTTCATATACGATAAGCGGAATCAACGTTCGAATGACGTAAACGCTTTCATATCGTCGAAATGGGGCGGCCTAATAATAGTCAATCCGCCAATTGATGCCTGTAAATACTACAATGAACATCAGCAACAGGTGTCCTTTTTCGTTCAGACCAATGATGTTATGCAAATAATGTTATATCAACTACAAAAGTTACTAGATATCAACGTAGAGGTAGGTCCATATTTTCGCTTGCTTATGAAGCGTAACACAGTTTTACTAGTCTTTTTTTCTGCTTTACAGGTTAACATGGATGGTGTAAAAATAGTCGATTTGGAACAATTAGCTCCTAGACGTTGGGAATATGAATCTTATATAAGACGTAGTGCCATAACTCATATCACAACCGCAACAAACACTTTACAAAGCTTGATGAAACTTCTAAGTAAATTTATCTATGAAAGTTTTTGTAAATAATTCTGAATATGTCTTGTACTATTTATCTTTTTAGATAAGATCAGTTATATCGTAATCAATGATAATGTCGGCGCGTCCATTAAAACAGCTTATGAGCATATCTCGATGGCGAAAAAAGCTTTAGCTAATCATCAATTATTTACAGCGTCCGCGTTGGCACAAAAAGCATTTGTCGCCTCGGAACAGGCGTTTTTCGATGCTAGTCTCTTAGCTCAACTTTATTTCCCAGACGAACAAAAGTATGCTATTTATATACCATTGTTTTTACCAGTATTAGCACCCGTTGTCATGTCATTTTCTACTCTTTCGAAAATATTAAAAAATCGAAATGAGAAAAAAGTGAAAGTAAATTAAAAAGTATTAAACCGAATACTTAAATAAAATGAATAATGATCGGAAATATTTTCATTGCGTTATTCAGTTAATATTGCGTTACGTTTGGTAAAATTATCGTAATTATGAAATTTATGTTGCAACAGATACGCAAATCTACAGAAAAAGAAATGGGTAAAGAATTTTCTAATCAATCTGGATCGAGTCAGAAAATGATTATCAATCGATCGGTATACCAAAAACTGTGAGTGAAAAGATTGGGTGTAGACGTAGGACGATATGATCGTTCATATATTTCATAGAAATTGCCTTTTGCGTTGATTGCTGATGCTTATTTCCAAGAAGATTGCTTCTTTTTTGACTTGTTGATAAGGATTGGGGACTTAGTTGCGTAGCAGCAATTTAAAATAAACTGAGTGGTCGAGAAGACAATGGATCTCGACCAACAATGTTTGTAGTCTTTTAAAGGGCTCGTGGAAATGAATCGGAAAATTTACTCTGAACAGAATAGAAGGGAGAGTACGGAATTTTTTAGCTTAAAGTTTTCTTTCGCTTACGTGCATATCTAAGTTTTGTTAATCATTGAAACTGTCAAAACTATACGACCAGAAA